AGCAACTTGATTCCACATGAGAAGTGATTAAAAGGTTGTTTTGCAGTCTGGAAGTTTTGGAGCAAACAAAGAGGCAGTACTGTTTGGGTTATTTTTTTCTTATTTACAAATCTGTGTTTGGTATTGAGTTACTTGTTTAACAGCTCACTGTTATCTCAAGAAATGCCAAGTTTTCCATCAGCACCTAGAGTGATCCTATTTTGTGTTACGTTACATTTGACTTCTCTTTCTCACAGAACACTACCTTTACTTTGTAAAGTGCATTCAGAAAATCCACCTCTTCACAAGAAAAATGTGAAGCTCCTATTTCGTACCTTATAAATTGAAGTGATAGATGTTTAAGTTGTTTAGTTCTGCATTTTAATGTCTGACTTCTGTTGACTCCCAATCATTGAAGAATCATGAGAGCAGGCATTTTGTACAAAGTCATAGTCCCTGACAATTCGAGAACCCATCTTCTGTGTTATGGTGAAGTAACTATTACGTGAAAGCTTATTACAAAAACTAAGACTAAATGACTGATCTGTGTTTCAGTATATGGGAAGGGTGTCTGATCTCATATTGATCATATTAGCTAGATCAGTACTTCTTGCTGCTCTAGTCCCATGCAAAGGTCTTAAATCTATAAATTCCTCTTTCAGGAGTAGAAATGGAAGGGTTGAAAGCAATCTAAAGAATGCACTTGATATAGAAAATCGTGTGCATATGAGACAGGTCATTTAAAACACTCTAACTGCTTGCTTGTATAGATAGGATTTAATTGTAAGCCAGTGTTGCTGCTATCTGATGTCAAATGATAATGGAATGTTTTCTTGCCATTAGAAAAAGTAATTATAATGAGATAGATTTGTAACACCAAATTTTGAAGTCCAGGAATGGCACTGTCTATTAAGAGCTGGCTTAATAAGATTTGAAATTGAATTGTAATGATCTCCTTTTAGGGAGCCAGAGTTAATTCTCTTATTCCTGCAACTTCATATATGTTGGCTGGAATATGTTTTTAAAATCACAACTCCCATTGGATAAGTTACTATTTCTGGTTGGCTGAGATATTTTCTACTTGACATTATACAGGCAGGCCTGTGTGCATACATTAACGTAATTTAAATACATGTAGAAAATGGGGTGTTTATTTCTCTTTACTGTGAGGTTTTAATTTATTTTAGACACTCTATGTCACAAGATGATTGAAATATATGTTGTCAAAACTCTGGAGCACCGATATCTGAACTTCTTTAATCAGATTAAAGTGCATAACAACTTTCTAGTGTAAGCCTTTTTGTGAACAGCCTATAAGAATTTTGTTTCAGATACAAGTCTTCTACTTCATGAGCTTACAGCATTATGAATGTTAATTTCTTCCAGATATACAGAAGAAATCATTCCCCGCCACCCGTGCCTGAAACTTATTAGCAACTGTGAGCAGATGCTTTCCAGGCACACATCAAGGCGCCTGATTACCATGGAAAAGGTGAAGGAATTCAAGGTAAGCTTGAATTCTTGATTACATTCTGTAAAATAGTAGCTATTGCATTCATGACAAGTTTGTGCTCTTTGCCAGTTGATCCTTACTTATATCACACTTGAGTTTTTATGGTCAGATTTAGAGCTTTTGTAAAATTGGGCAGTGGTTTTTTCCCTTTTTCTTCTCAGTTTTCAGTAAACTCTTCATCCCAAGCAAGCCCCTGAATAGCGTGGAAAAGATCTTTGAACTTACGGCTACTTGTATATCCCATCCACAGAGATGCCTAAGTTTCCATTGATTTCGAAGTGTAACTTGATGCCCAAGTAAATACTAAATGGCTTTGTGGGTCTTTCAGTACAGGTAAACCATATTCAATTCTGTTACTTCATCTGTAGAACTCTTAGTTTTTGAGATAATATTGAAGATGTAAAAGTACAGTGAAGCACGCTGGCTCTTTCTTGTTTTGGGACACATTAAGTGCCTCTCCTGAGGCACTGGGGAGAGGGAATATTTCATTCAGGTCTCCTTTCCATTCTTGCTGCTTCTCTCACTCCATACTGTTAAAAGAGATGCTACGCAAGTGTGAGGCAAATGCTTAATGAAAATGCACTCAGTGAGCAAGTCCTTGTGCAGCTGGAAGAGCTATTTCAGATGACGGGAGATACAGTCAAACTGCTGTGTCTGCGTGGTGCTTGCACTAATAACGCAGCAGGGTTTTTAGTACTGTGTTCATAATGCTCATGATCGGTGCAGTTCTCAAGCAACACCTGAATTTTTAAAAGCACTGCAGGTGGAGTTCAGTGTTGGAGCTGCCAACTTCACCAGTAGCAAAGCAGGAGGGTAGATGCTGAAAATTTTTGACATGTGTGTCTCAGGGTTTTCAGGGTGGTTTTCTGCAGGAGTTTTATTAATACCAGTGCTGTAGGATAACATGTTCTAATCTAAAAAATATATCCACTCTTCTGCGAGTAGACTTTTGTCATTTGTTATTCTTGTTTTGTGCATCACCTGTTCTTCACTATGTGGTGTGACAGGTTCATGCCTGGAAATGCTTAGCTCTGAGCACCTGAGACTATTTGGCAGTCTTGCTGCTCAGATAAAACTGTGCAAGTGCTTATATTCAGGCCTGCAGATGTCTGTTAGATAATCTAAAGATACCAGAACCCATGTATGGTTTTTGATGATGTAAAACTTATCTAAAGAACAAAATGCATGTTGAGTCCTTAGCTAGTGCCTGCTTGGTTTAGGGTCTTGTTTAGTGTCTTAAGATTTCCCCACCTCAGTGTCCCTTATCTGGAACATGGCTTTTCATTTCTTAGTATTCTGAACAACCTTTGAATAGAATATTTCTGACTCACTAGATGTGATCATAAAATTCCGTAGTTAGTGTTTGGGCTGTTTTCTTAACGGAAAGAGTGAGTTTTTATGAATATGCAACCATTTATGTTTCCAGACAGTTCCTGTCTGTTTTGCTAAACTGGTCTGTAACAGGCCCTCACAGCTGTCTTTTAATTGAGCTTATTGCAGCACTTGCAAGTGGCTAAGAAGTTTTACAAATCATATAGTGTCATTATGCAGTTGTTTTCCCCAGTGTTTGGCACCAATAAGGAACTGCAGATTTCACAGCAAATTTGATTTCACTGTTAACACTCTAAATTCCTAAATGGAGATGAATTCAGTTAGTTACTGAAATTGGTGGTGCGTTTTGTTTGGAATTGTGATAAAAAGGAGACCAAGATGAATGCGAAAATTGAGCATGTCTTGATGAAGTATTGATCTATTGTAAGTAATCATTAACATGAAGATCAAATATGTTGAATTAAAAGCCTCACAAAAGGTGGTATATAACTCTCTGTCTAGTAGGCATCCAGTCTGTTCTTTTTAAGTTTACAGTGAAATCATGCCAACTGGAAAAGATTTCTCACTGAATTCAGTGATGATATGAATAGGCTTTTCCAGCATATACACAATATGAGCAGAGCAGTTGTTTGTTGTTTAACATTTAAGGCTTTTTTTTTTTTAAATTACCATATCAGACAACTTTTTCCATTGTTCTTCCCAGCACAGTGCTCACCCCAAAATTTCCATGTCATATGGTCACTCCAGAGTTGTTACTGGTGTAGAATTTTTCCTTTTGAATTTAGCAGTGTCTGTTCCTGGATATGACCCTGTTGCCCCCACTTAACACCTACTTTGCCTCAGTTTTTACCAGTAAGACAGGTGGCCCTCAAGGCAACTGGCCTCTGGAGCTGGTAGACAGAGATAGGAAACCAAATAGCCCCCTTGTATTCCGGGAGGAAATAGTTGGTGACTTACTGAATCATCTGGATCCTCACAAGTCTATGGGACCAGACGGGATCCATCCTAG